CATCACTTTATTTTGACGGAATGAAGCGCACCGTGCTCTTCCTAGGAAGCTACCCTCAAAGTTTTTTGAGATTTCAGACGAACGGCGCGGATGAACGGTGATGAGACGTGCATCAGAAGAATGAGACAGAAGCAGCGGTTCATCGGTGGCGTCGTCATGGACTTACTGAACTGAAAATTGAGCAAGGAGACGGATTAAGACATAAGTGCAGTTAACAAACCGTGGCAACTGCCCCCCCCTGCTTCACCCTCGTATCACCCTGCTATGTCGAATCCCCCCGTTTGGAACAACGACGAGCGAGCGCTGTTAGGTGATCACTGTCCTGAATATGTGGCCTCTGGAAGCGACAAGCAAGGGTTCTACACTCGCGTTTGGGCCATATATCTCCACAAATTCCCTGTGATGCCTACCGAGGCCAAAATTGCTGAGAGCAGCGGCGATGTCATGAAGGCATTTCGGCACGTAGGTTGTGCTCAACGTCGTGCGCGGAGGCTCGCGGTACGACTTACACTTGACTTTAACACTATATCATTCTGATCAGTGCCGCATTTGATCACAGCAAATGACATACTGGTTCCAGAATAACGGCAACCGTGTTGCTGGCGAACGAGCATCTGGTTTTGGGACTCCCGCCCGCGTTCGAGTGCTCGATCTGTCAAACAAGGATAAGAGAAAACTCCAAGTGAGTATCGTTTGTTATTCGATCCGTGTGGTCTGTTATCTGACAATATGATAAAGCCAGGCCACGCATGGCTCCGCCTCTTTTACGATAAACTGGAGGTGAAGGCATTGTATGATGCGGCATGGGGGGTAGCGCATGGGGCTGGGTGGAGCAAGAAGAAAGAGGTTTCTTTCCGTAACATGTGGGCAGCAGAGCAGCTTGAGAAGGCAGACCCTGAGACGAAGGCACTGGTGGATGAGTACCATGAGAAAGGTCACCTGAAGGACGATGAAGAGCGCTACATTGACGTCGAGCATGGTGACGACGAAGACATGGTTCATGCGAAACGACTCCAAGAGTGAGTATCATATATCCTGGCTTCACTATCTTCTAATACATCTCAGGTATCTCGACAATCTCCCCCATACCCTCAAACACGTCGCAGAAAGCCTTCACAAGCAGACGGGGTGGAACTTTAGTATAACATGTGGGGGTCCTTTGCCTCGGGCCCCGAATGGAGCCGTGAATACGCTGCAGTGAGCGACCTTATTATGATCTGCCGAACGTGTGCTCAATGTCTCTAGCCTGTCTGTCGGGAAATGCAAACAAGGCATGGAGTGGTCGGACTGGAACTCAGAATAGAGCCGTTTGGCAAACGATAAATATCGAAATCCTTGAAACTTTCCCAGCCCCACCTCGATAATTATCCGAAACTTTCTTCCACGAGTTTCGAAACTTCTGTCCAGCGCAACAACCGTTTTTGGGTCAGGTTGCACTGCCACAATTCTGCCATCCATGTTGTACATCGGGTCGCACGTCGTACAACGCGGCGCCAGACCCGTGCGATAGCCTTCATGACTAGCTGTATCATAGACTCTGAGTTAGGGTTGGTAGTTGATGAGTGAAGGTGAGGTCGAAGCTGCAAGGGCGAATGCGCAAGCTCGATGATGGTGACATAAGCGCTGCGCTCGCGTGGCAGGTTTCGATACAATCCCAAAACGTTTCGGGAAAGTTCCGAAACCAAACTTCCGATATTTATCGTTTGCCAAACGGCTCTAATACAAGGAGGACATACAACGGTTTCGCCAGTTCTGCGATGCAACTTTCTGTGAGTTGTTTCAATAGCGGACTCGATTTAAATCTCATAGTATGCATTGATAGCTCCAGCGGAATGTTTGGCGTTAAGTCTCAACCGGACGCCAGCTTCGACATCCATCGCCTCGAATATGACATCAGCTTCGACTTCAACACTGGCCTCAACTTCGTTGCCGGCCTCGAATACGGCGTCTTCCACCGCTGAAACGCCAATGTCAACTTCTACTACAACGGCTTCGACCACGGAAATCGCTGGCTTTGACAATTCCATGCTAGATCCAATGTTGCTGGATATGAAGCTCGTCAGCGACGTCTCCCTCGCGTTTGTTACTGATACGGCAACGTCAATGGTAGATTACTCTACCACTTATCCGTTAGGTACGGCAGCTCCCACAAAAAAGCGTCGTAGGGCACAGAAGGTGTCTGCAAATCACAAGAAGGCAAAATCTCTTTGCAATGCTGCCATTCTTGCCCAAGCAGAGGTCCATAGCTTCGAGTCAGGATCCGATCCTTTCCTCGTGCCATCCGATTCCGCTTCATCCTCCATTTCCCCCACTGTGGCGCAACAGATGCCTTCCACTGCGGTGCCTCCAGTCTCACCCGTTGTACCTCAAGTCCCGCCTGTTGCGGCGCCTCAGGTCCCGCCCGTTGCCGCGTCTCAGGTCCCGCCCATTGCAGCGCCTCAGGTCCCGCCGAGTGTTGCACCCCAGATATCGCCCAGTGTTGCACCCGTTGTCCAGCCCTCTGTCTCGCCCGCCGTGGCACCTCAGATCCCGCCTGCTGCGACACATCAGGCCCTGCCCTCTGCAACGCATCAGGCCCCACCTGTTGCGGCGCCTCAGGTTCCACTTTCCACATCGCCTCAGGTCCCTCTCGGTGTCGCACCTGAGGTTCACCCCGGTGTCGCGCCCAAGGTCGCGCCTGGTGTCGCACCCCAGGCCCCGTCCGATGTCATACCCAAGGACCAGCCCGTTGTCCAGCCCTCTGTCCCGCCGGCAGCGGCGCCTCAGGTCCCGCCCGCTGCGACTCATCAGGTCCTGCCCGCTGCGACTCCGAGTCATCAGGTCCCGCCCGTTGCGGCACCTCAGGTCCCGCTCTCCACATTGCCTCAGGTCCCGTCCGGTGTCGCACCCAGGGTCCCGCCCAGTGTCGCACCTCAGGTCCTGCCCGATGTTGCACCCAAGGTCCAGCCCGTTGTCCAGCCCTCTGTCCCGCCGCCCGTGGCACCTCAGATCCCGCCTGCTGCGACTCATCAGGCCCTGCCCGCTGCGACTTATCAGGACCCGCCCATTGCAGCACCTCAGGTTCCGCTCTCCACATCGCCTCAGGTCCTGCCTGGTGTTCAGCCCGTTGTTTTGCCCTCTGTCTCGCCGACCGCGGTGTCTCCGGTCCCGCCCGCTGCGACACTGCCTCCTGTGACGCATCAGGTCCCGCCCGTTGCGGCGCCTCAGGTCCCGCTCGCTGCAGTGCCTGGGGCACCGCTGCCCCGGAAACGTCTCAATTCTTCTCCGGCCCCAAGCAGCGGGTTTGTAGACCTGGATGACGATGACGATGACGCTAATGCTCCGCCGCTCGGCGTCACCAATGGTGATTTAGAGGAGGAGGAATGCCAAGAGCAGCAAGGCCTCAAACGGTTGGTAGTCTGACAAATCCCGACCGCAATAATCTGCTGATATATCGAGCCCAGTCACCAACAGGCACTCGCTATACCGTCCAGGAAGTCCGAGCGGGTTCGCAAAGCTTCACAGAAGGTGGCAGGCACCGAAAGCATCTCATTGGATGCAAGCCTACCAACTACCGAGCTCGTCAACAATGTTCTACTCGATGACAGTCTTCCGAGCTATTTCACATCTGCGGTTCAGTTCATGGGGTCCCAGGTATATGGCCCTCATGTTGATTTCTTAGAAATGATCAAAGCCTTCATCCTGTTCGAAGCGAAGTCTCAGTTCCTCGCACAGAATGTGAGTCCTCGGGTTTGCTATCAGCATCGTGTCTTATTCGTTCTATCAGTCTCGCACCAAGGCTGTCAATCGACCTAAAATTATCCAGAAATGGATGACGGGCGCGAGACGAGACTTTGCAAGCATGAAGTCGGACGATCCAGCCCGAGATGTCTCAGGATGGTTCTTGTGGTGGGCAACGCTGCAGCCAGCATGGCGCGGTGCTATCATGCCCCATTCTTGCGAACCCCCTCCTGGCGCTCGCTACCCTGACCTCAAAAATGGGCATATGGGTGTTGTCACGGTGGTTTCGTCTCTTGTATGCCTTTACTGGTCAACTGAGGATCAGGAGCTCCGTCAGAAGTTGACCTCGGGTGCCTGTGATGTATGCTGGGCTCTGACAGCTGCAGCACAAGGCATGACTACGAAAAACGATGAAGCAAATGAGAATCAGCCTCCCCGCAAGTAAGTGAGAGCCGTTATATCTGTCGTCCTGGCGTACTAAATCTGTGCCGTCAGGCGCCCTCGCCTGTAACAACACCTAATTTGCATATACAGCATCCGTTTCTACCCCGTGCCGTCAACTTTCATAAGAGTACTCCGGTCTCCATAATTTTAGCATAGGGCTTGATCTTCGCCATAAATAAATATCCAGGCATTGTCTGGTCCATAGTCAATAACACGTTGTATTTAGAATTTCTTGGTCATACAACGATCATATACTGGTCACGAAATACACCAGAAGTATCCCACATACAATCTGATCAGAATCGCGCTTTGAGTCATGGAATAACTCTCGACCCTCCTCAGAAATTTGCTGGGAATTATCGCGCTGGAGAGCTCACGCTCGTCACGATGAATTTGCCTTGCGCTGTTACTGGCGTTTTTCGTCGAGATCGGGTGGAAGCGACGGATGCACCGTCTTCGAGACTTTGCTGGGGGTTATCCACAAAATCGCGCTGACATATCCGGGTCAGTCGCACAAAGTTGCCGGTGTTTATTTCCAAGGACACGTTTGAGCATGAGGTAGATCTTAGAGATTTTGCTAGGGTTTATCAACAAGATCGCGCAGGAGAGCTCAAGCTCACCACGACGAATACTCTCCTGATGTTACTGGCGTTTCTCGTCAACATTTAATGGAAGCCGAGGATAAAGTCTCCTAGATATTTTGCTTGAGTTTATCAACGACATCGCGCTGACGCGCTGACGTCCGGCTGAAGCATGGGGTCCATCCTCTTCGAGATATCGAAGGGGGAGGAGGCGGGATGGTCAAAAATTCCGTGCTTACGAGCTCATTCTCAAGGCAATGAATGACCTCACGCTGTTACTAGAGTTGCTCGTCTAGATCGGATGAATGTGGAGGGTGAATACGTGCATTACACGAAGCTGCCGGCGTTTATTGTCAAGGTCCGGCTCGGGCATGGGATTGTCATTCTGCTGGGGATTATCAATGAGATCGTGCTGGCGATCTGGCTCTCACCATGATAATGGTCTCCCGCTGTTACTGAAGTTTCTCGTCGAGGTCGGCCGGAAGTACAGGATGAATCGTCAAGAGTTTGCTGGGGTTTATCGACGAGGTCACGCCGGGGCGCTCACGTCCATTACGCAAACTGCCGGCGTTTATTGTCAAGGTCCGGCTCGAGCATGGGATCGTTGCTGGGGATTATTAATGAGATTGTGCCGGCGAGCTGACGCTCACCGCTATGAATGCTCTTTGATATTGCTGGTGTTTCTCGTCGAGCACGGATCGGATCATAATGTGTCCGACTCCCACTGCTATCAGTGGAGTTTATGATGAAGGACGTAGTCGCATGTATCCTCTGATGATGCTGGATAATTCATGCCCGATGGCTTCTGGAGTATGTACCAACCTACATCTTAGCGGCGAAATACGAGGCAAGGGATTATATTACGACGTACGTTTTGGGCATAAGTATGGTGGAGACAAGTGCTGCTCATTGTAAAGCGGCGTGTCCAGAGCATCGCGACCATTTGGCAAGCTAGCATCGTACCAGAGGTTTGATAAAAATTTACACGCGTGCTGTGGTTTATACAAGTTGAAAGCAGCCGGACGAGGTCACTAGCACGTGCTGAATGAGTACAGGACTTTATTGCGTAGCGGTGTGATCTCATGTAGCTGCAGTTTATACTGCCTGGGTGTGTGTGCGAAGGCCTGTGCCAGTCCAGGTGCTGGTGCCGCGTTTTATTTGCGAGGTAGGCAAGGCTCAGTTACAGGCGATTTGTGCACGAGGTTGTTACTGCTACAGCAGTAACTTATAGGACTGGATCGGTCACTAGCATTGCTCGGCGAAGCCTATGCGTCCTGTTCTGCCGACGCGTCCCATCCCGCCGACGCCGACGTGTCCCATCTCGGCGAAGCCAATGCTTCCCGTCTCAGCAAAGCCTACGCGCCCCATCCCGCCGACGCGTCCCATCCCGCCGATGCCGACGCGTCTTGTCTCAGCAAAGCCAACGCGCCCCATCCTGCCAACGCGGACACATCGTGTCCCGTCGACGCCAACGCGCTCCGTCCCGCCAACGCCAGCACATCGCATCCCGGCCACGCGCCGGTTACCCCTCCCCTTGGTGTTGCAACTACAACTTCTTCATCCCTGGCTGTCGGGCCCAGTCTCAACCACGATGACCCGTTGAGTGACGATGATGAAGAATATTGGAATGAATTAATGTTACTGGCTGATGCATGGGAAGTTTAAGTAGTGTATCATAAATGTAATCCTACCCTCCTTACCCTGTTACATTAGTGGAATCCACGTAGTTACTTCAAGAGGAGTGGCCCCTATTCAATTTCCCACGGATCACGTGATCCTTGCTTGTCGTTTTTCTGTTATGCCTCTGCTCCGCAAAACAAGAAAATGACAAGCACAAGTCACATGACACCAAGGACCGTGAGAGCAGGCTTGCCTGATCCGGCCAATTTCCTCGGGCGCGGTGAATGGCCGTGTAGAGAGACTCGGCCGAGTCGGCCGGGGGCGAGCCGTCGCGCTCGCACCCGGCCGACACCCAAGCCAAGAGGCTTCACCCATACCTGCCGGTGTCTCTCAACGCGCCGTGGATACACGGGCTGCAGGACCGTAGCCCGCCCAAGAGGAATGTTAAGCGAGCATGGGGCGGGAGGCGGGCATTTAAGCGAGCATCGAGCGGGAGGCGGGCAGTAAGCGAGCAGCGGGCGGAAGGGGAATGTTAAGCGAGAGGCGGGCGGGAGGTGGGCATTTAAGCGAGCGTCAAGCGGGAGGCGGACAGTAAGCGAGAGGCGGGCGGGAGGCAGGCATTTAAGCGAGCGACGGGCGGGAGGGGAATGTTAAGCGAGCGTGGGGCGGGAGGCGGGCATTTAAGCGAGCGTCAAGCGGGAGGCGGACAGTAAGCGAGCGGCGGGCGGGAGGCGGGCATTTAAGCGAGCGACGGGCGGGAGAGGAATGTTAAGCGAGCATCGAGCGGGAGGCGGGCATTTAAGCGAGCGGCGGGCGGGAGGGGAGTGGTAAGCAAGCGTCGGTCATGCAGCAGCCAGGGGCATGAGTGCCGACGCCGTAAGCGAGCGTCGTAGCAAGTCGAAGATGATATCATAGCTCCTTCGGAGGCTCGGACATCGGGGACGGGAGCGATAACCTCCGAGGACGCGATTCACACGTTTTCACCTCCTACGAGCTCCATAAGCGAAGTGTATATCATCCTGAGAATCACGGGAGGAACCATGGGCACAAGCCGAACTCCGCGGCATGTACCAGGCTCCTAAAACCATCCGCTCGTATCGTGTTTTCACTCCTCAATCCTAGTTGCGCACGCGAGGCTGAATCCGAGAGGGATGGGAAGTAGTGACCATATTTGATCTGTATTTGATATGTCTTATGTCAGATCCAAATTCGGATTAGGGGGCTTCCTTTTATATCAGTGGAAAGTGAGGAGTGAACACGATAGAGCGGCTGGCCAAACTCGACATTTCAAATTGCGGCACGTCTCGGCACACCTCAGTTTTCTGATAACCCTCGACCTAGGGTTTTCATTACCGCGCATTGTCCAGCTCTGCAACGCAAGAGGCAGGCGAAGCCCCACTTAGCAACGAGTGCCCTGCTGCAATACCATCACCACCACCCCGCATGTTATATCAACATGGCAGGGCAGTTGCTCGTGCCTTTGGCATCGTGAGGCATTGTCGGCAGTGGATAGTGGCAGTATGCCCTAAAACCATCTTATATATAACATGTGTTGGTACAACAGCGCAGGCAGCTGGTGAAGTGGTTAGCGCGCCGACGTGTGTTTTTGCGCACATGGCAAGGTCGCGAGTTCGAGCCCGAGGCGACGCCTCCGTGCTTACCTTTATCAGTTGCTACCGGAGAGGTGACGAGCGGTTACAGAACATTTTAGACTGCGCTGCATATACCTGTGTGGATGCAGGACCTGAGCCATTCACATGCGAGCATTGATATGCCCTCCCGCCAGAGAACAAGGTTATATTGACGGGGATACCGGCTTCCAACACCGACTAATGGCTTAGGTGTTAACGCGTGTTAGTCGCTGACGAGCTTTTTGTTGGGGTCGCACGTTCGATCCCGAGGCGGGGACTTCCAGTTCCTTTTTTTTTTACCCCCCCCGGCAGTCAACTATTCATCCACTCATGAAGATCAACAGCTCTACAGCTCTATCAGAGGGCAATCCATTTTGTAGTTACAACCTGGGGAACACTTGCTGCATTATCATTCCCAGGAGAGCAGGTGCATACCTAGCAATATATATCCATCACGAAACTAAAACCCTGAGACGAGCAAGAAGGTCAATGTTAGCCGAGACCCTACATTGGGTGGTAACCAGGGCTGCCGAGCTCTTGCCGCAATTTGAAATGTCGAGTTTGGCCAGCCGCTCTATCGTGTTCGCTCCTCACTTTCCACTGATATAACAGGAAATCCCCCTGATGCTGTCTGACGTAATGCATGTCCCTTTATAGCTAGGACTTCCCATGACTGTCTGACATAATGCATATCCAATTATAGCTACAACTTCCCATCCCTCTCGGATTCAGCCTCGCGTGCACAACTAGAATTGAGGAGCGAGAACACGATACGAGCGGATGGTTTTAGGAGCCTGGGCATGTACAAACACCCTGGACAACCCTACCGCAGGCAAAAGCAACGGACCACGACTACTAGCCGTGAAATACGACATCCCAAGGTATCACAAATAGTCGATTATATTGTACAAAGGTTCTTAGCAGCATTGCGTGGCTAAGCACAACATTAACTTCAATCATAAAAAGAAGAGGCAGCCTATCAAGAGGACAGTACACGCATGCCCCCCTGATACCAATCCCGAGTTGTAGTTCATCAACCAGTCGAACTCAAGTCAAACTCCGGCGAGGCGCCCAGAACGCCACACCTACGGAGCAAATGTGGGGTTCTTGCACAGTGCAGGCATATCGCCGGCCCTTGAGCTTTCCCACCGCAGTGACATGTATATATTAGCAACGTTGCGTGTTTCTAGAACATTGCAGTAAGACCGCGAATCGCAGCGTCGGCCCCGTAGGCATCTTCGTATCTGTCAAGTCTGTAATCGGTCCCAGTTGATCAATCGCGGAGATCATTTATCATTTCCTGCCTGACTTTCCCTAGCTTTTATCTCGGTCTAACCGTGCTCGTTCCGCAATAATCTTTGCCGTGATAGCGGGAATACAATTATTGGCGTGGGGTTAATCGGAACCGTTGATGCGGACATGCCTCTGGACGATCTGGTCCCGCGAAGAGAGCGGCCGAGCTTACGAAGAAGAAATCCCCTGCCGCTGCTCAACCCATAACCCCGCGCTGCTAGGGCCGCTGCTCAACCCATGCAACGTGGTTGAATTCCCTGTGCAGATGGACAGAGGACTGGGCACGGCGCGTTCGCCTGAAAATTATCGCCAAGACGACTTCGTCACAAGACGAGCGCTCATTACAACGTAATCAATGAATACGGAGCGCGGAATTATCACGTACCTCGCTCCATCAGCAGAGCGCTCTTCCCCTTCTTACCGAGCCTAATGTAACGTCTTTCGCCTTTGCTTTGCGAGGTATGAAATTGGAAGCTCCGGATCCAGACGAGGTCGCCGGGAGAAGCGTGCTTTTGGACCAATTGTGGGCTTGTTCAGCAGCTGCAGCAGTGCAGCCTGTACCTGTTCCACATGCTCGATCTTCCTTGAAGTGATGCTCCTCATCAAGGGGGCGAGTAACGGCTATCCATAGCGGGCGAGTAACGGCTATCCATAGCGGGCGAAGCCCCTCTGGTGTGACTTCACGGCCCTTCTTGAACGTCTGTCTCCCTCGGGCCTTTACGGCAGAGGCAGACGCGCTGCTATACCCCCCTTGCGAGCTCTCAGATACGGATGTCGAGTACATAAAGGGATGCCGGCATGTGAGGTTACGGCTAGACGAAGCTGATCGGTGGGACAAACAGACTTATTAGGATTCAGGAGTGCAGGACGCCGAGGACGTCTTGAACGTGACGTCGAGATGCATGATGTAGGTGCCTGCGTCGGGGAGCGCCGGACACTGGACGAAGGAGAAGGAGCCGCCTGACGTTCAGTTGGTCATCGTAGGGTCTAGCGGACCCTCGCGTTGACGTAACGCTGGTGCTGGCGCTGCCGTTCGGGACTTGCACCGAGAAAGCATATTTGATGCCGATACCTGTTGGCGCGGGTCAGTATGGTGTGCGCATAGGGCAGGGGTGGAATTTTATGACGGTGAGCAATAGCAGAACTGACCGGAGTCGTTTTTCCATCCCATGCTGGCACTCGAGTTAACCGGCACGATGGTGTTGCGAGTGACGATAACGATCCCTTGCGGTGAATCTTTGAGAGCGCGGATATCGATGAACAGAGGAGGAATAGGTGAACGATGGTGTTGGACGTTGGAAAAGGGTGAGGAGGGGGGTACTGGGGTATTGGCCATTGAGGAGTGTCTGATCCACTCTGACGGCGTTATCAAGGTGATGGGTACATTCGCAGCATCCGGCTGACTGGGCTCCCGAGTCTAACGGTGGTGGTCAAGGAGAACAAGACACGCGACACACCAACTCAATTGTGATGCGCCACTTACAGATTTCTCGAGAACGACGACCGCAACTTCAAGGCCGTCGGCCACCTCTCGTCTTCTCCTTCCCCAGCGACAACGTTTATGGGAATATGACACCGATCTTGCGGCATTCCAACACCTCAGCGACCTCAGCGTTCGTCGGCCTCCCGCCGATCCCGCGTGGCGCTCGTGTCTCGCATCTCATGCAGGGTCGCTGGTCCACATATCTTCCTGACCGATCTATCTCTGGCAACTGGATGCTTTTGCGCACAAGAATAGGCAGCAGTAGCTTCGACGGCTTGAACATGCCTGGATTCTGCAAAACACCTTTCTGTACACGCGCGCGCACCATATGCAAAGGCGAATATAAGGTTGATACAATGACAGGTCTACCTTGAGTGAGGGGTAACCGTTTACTCCAACGATGCTCCGACTGATCTACCACTTGCTCTTTTTATTCGCCTTCCGTAGGCTCTCGTTTGCTCAGGCTGCGCCTACGGTCACGGTGAAGAACGGCACTTACGTCGGCATTGCTCTGCCGTCATTCAACCAGGAGCTCTTTCTGGGTCTACCGTATGCGCAGCAGCCCCTGCCTCCGGACCTGCGCCTACGTCCTCCCCTATCGCTCAACACGTCGTGGACCGGAACGCGGCCCGCCACAGAATATAGTCCGATATGTGTCGGATATCCGGAAGGAGCAACGGACGACGATTTGGGTCTTGATCTGGGCGAGGCGTGCTTGACGTTGAACGTCGTTCGTCCCCAGGGAGTTCAACGGGGCAGCAGCATACCCGTCGTGGTCTGGATCCCGTAAGCCCTGTTATGTAAACGTCCAGTCAAGTTAATGCTTATCTGCTTGGGCGTAGTGGAGGCGGATTCGGTATGGGCGGGAGTGCTGACCCTCGGTATAACGGCACATTCATCGTGCGGCGTAGTGTCGAGATGGAACAACCAATAGTACGCGTCCCTTCCGAAATCCCAAGCGTACGATGAACTCACGCATATATGCAGATCTTCGTCAGCATGAACTACCGCGTCAGCGCCTTCGGCTTCTTGTGGTCGGAGGAAGTTGCTGCAGAAGGTTTGGGCAACATAGGCTTGCTTGACCAGGTACGCATAGCACTTCTTTCGCATTCCGCGGAAACTGACGTACTCCTGTTTTAGTACCTCGCGTTGCGATGGATCCACCAAAATATTGCTGCATTCGGCGGAGATCCGACCAAAGTGACAGCGATGGGCGAGAGGTACGATTGAACCGTATCGCAACCGTGCCCCTCACTGAGCGACACTATACAGCGCCGGGGCAATTTCTGTTTCCCTCCAGATGATGGCGTTCGGCGCGACGTCCACCAACCTCTTCCGCGCCGCTATCCTCGAATCCGGTTCGCCCCCGTCCTGGAACTACCGCACCGCGGAAGAGTTCCAGCCCCAGTTTGACGCCGTCGTCGCCGCCACCGGGTGCACCAACGAAAGTGACGCGATTGCTTGTTTACGGGCAGTGCCACTTCAGACGTTTATTGCCGCGACGAACGTCACGGTTCCTATTCCGTGGGGCCCGGTCATGGACGATGCGTTCTTGAGGGGTAGTCCTACAGCGACGCTCAAGTCCGAAAATTTCATCAAGGTCCCAATATTGCATGGAGGTACGTCGTAGTGCCTTGCTAGTGCATGTGGAAGATGAACAAACCCAAAATCAGCGAACCTGGACGAAGGGGCATACTTCGGACCCAAGGGGATCGATAATGACGCGGCGCTAGAGAGCATCATCGCAAGGACTTATCCTCATCTAACAAACGAGTCGATCAGCAAGATCATGGAGCTATACCCGAATGACCCGTCGATCGGATGCCCATATGACACTGGAGATGGCGTACTCTCGTCGGGTCAGCAAGACAAACGCGCGTTTAGTATATGGGGGGACGTCGTCATGCATGCAGGGGTTAGTAAAGGTTGCATGGTATCGAAGAATCAGGAGTCTCATCTCCTCTGCAGCGCAGGCTTCTAGGAGATAGTATCGCCAAGACGCACGATGTTTTCTCCTACCATTTTGCTCAAATTCCTGATAATGCGACTATAGAAGATGGAGGTTCGTGGTTACAATCTGTTCCCAATCCAAACCTCACCCCGCGAATTCCAGTTCAACACTTCCAGGAGGTCGCCTTCGTGTTCAACAATCCCGGCCCTACGCGCAACCCTTTGTCCACGCGGCTTGGGGACGCGGAGCTGGCAAACCTCATGACGAGCTACTGGTGAGCACTTCGCATTCTCACCTTTTCCACCTTGTTAACCACTCGCTCTCAGGATATCCTTCGTAAACCACTTGGACCCCAATCACAGTGGCATGAAGGGCGCACCTATTTGGCCGAGCTACCGCCAGCAGGCAAAGAATATGGTATTCAAGCGTCAGGGCAGTTTCTTGCAGGACGATGTCTACCGTGCCCTAGGAATCAATTTGTACGTGCAAGAATTGTACCATTCGTATACGCGCTTACAGAATATTGCTAGTCTGAACTCCCTTGAGAGCGAAATGCAACACTGAGCCTCAGGCAGTCGTGCGTACGGAGTTGTTCCTCGTGTCTTAGCGTCAATGAGACCTCCTTGAATCGGACCTGTTTCCTCTTGTTCCCGCCCAATGCCGGGAGCATTGAACAGCAGTTGAAGTAACCTGATCAGCGCAGAATCTGAGAATCCGTCGCCGAAGTCTGGATTGCCTCTATCACGGGAGCAGATGATATCAGGCGGTCCCGATGAGCTTTCAACCAGGAAGTCAGGGTCGCGGAGCACAATGCAGACGATGACACCAGGGTGCAGTGGAGTCCGCTATGATGCACGAAGTTGCGAACTTTGTGTGGGCATACAATACCAAATGCGCCCCAGGGTTTCTCACGTGGCTCACTCCTCAACTTCTTCCACGCTCACCCGTTCAACCTCCATCGTTCATCGGCACCACGCTCCACGACCGTCTGCAGCTTACAGAGCACTTGCATCTTTTGAACCCATGACCGACCATGGCTGGACATCTCTTCGGACAAGAGGGTGTTATGAGGCATGAGTCCATCCCCTCAAACCCTCGCACGAAAATCGATCGTCCCCATGTACAAATACCATCTCGTCGCTCTTGCCGCACTTACCTTCTGCTACGGAGCCATTCCTACAGAAGCTACACCCAGAGCAACAGTCAGGAATGGGACATACGTCGGCTTCTCCCTTCCGTCTTTCGAGCAGGAGCTATTTCTGGGTATGCCGTATGCCCAACAACCCCTGCCGCCGAACCTGCGCCTCCGACCTCCGGTTTCGCTCAATACATCGTGGAACGGCACTCGCAATGCCATGGAATATAGCCCCATATGCATTGGCTACCCGTCCGGTGGCGCCAACGACGATCTCGGGCATGAACTCAGCGAAGCGTGTCTAACCTTGAACATCGTGCGCCCAGCAGGTATTGTACAGGGCAGTAATGTTCCCGTGGTTGTATGGATCTAGTGCGTCACTCTTTATGATTTGTGCAAGATTTCACGTACTGACCACGAACTTTGCAGTGGAGGAGGTTTTCAGATGGGCGGCAGCGCAGATCAGCGCTACAACGGGTCATGGGTCGTTCAACGTAGTGTTGAAATGAAGCAACCTATCGTCGGTGGTTATTCCTTCATCACTGAACCACGCTAATGTTTCGACCCGGCAGATCTTCGCCAGTATCAACTATCGTGTCACTGCCTTCGGGTTCCTGTGGTCTCAGGAGATCGCGGCTGAAGGTGCAGGTAACTTCGGTCTGCTCGATCAGGTGCGCGTGTGAGCTTTCACTCGCCCAAACTGCGCATTCCTCATACTTGCGCTTCACAGCACCTTGCTCTACGCTGGATACATGAGAATATCGATGCATTTGGTGGCGATCCGAGCAAAGTGACTATCATGGGGGAAAGGTACGTTATTTCTGTAGTGGCATCTCTGTGTCGCTCATGCGACAATTATCGCCTGATGTAGCGCCGGCGGGCAGAGCGTTGCTATGCAGCTCTTGGCCTTCGGAGCCAAGACCACCGATCTCTTCCGCGCCGGGATAGCTGAGTCTGGCTCTGCTTCAGGCGTTCAATATCGTACCGCTGCCGAGTACCAGCCGCAGTTCAATTCTGTAGTGAACGCAACTGGCTGCTCTGGCGCTGCAGATGTAGTAGCGTGTTTGCGAAGCGTGCCTGTTGAGACATTCATTGCGGCGACAAATGTCTCCGCACCGATCTCGTGGAGCCCTGTCATCGATGGATCATTCCTCAAGTCTCCACCTACAGCCACCCTCCGGGCAGGAAAAAATTTCATCAAGGTACCGTTCTTAACTGGTGGTGAGTTTGATTTACAATTCTAATAGATATGTTGTGTTAACAACAGTTTTAAGCGAACCTGGATGAAGGTGGGGCGTTCGGGCAGAGAGGCATTGACAACGACACGGCGCTCGTCGATGCACTGCGAAGCTCTTACCCTCATTTGACCAACGAGAGCATCACCACTATCCTGCAGCTATATCCCGACGACCCTTCCATCGGCTGTCCTTACAATACCAGTGACGGGATCCTTTCCACTGGCAGACAAGATAAACGCTCCTTCAGCATCTTCGGTGACACAACAATGCATGCCGGTGTATGTGATCAGTGCTGTTGCCGATCCGCTCTTATTCTTCAGCTACAGCGTCGCTTGTTAGCGCAGAGCATAGCTACAGCGCATGATGTCTTTACCTACCACTTTGCTCAGCCACCTGACAACGCTACGATCGAGGATGGCGGTACTTGATCTCCTGCTTCAGTCACGATATTCCTCTAACAACGTAATGATCAGTATCGCACTTCCAAGAGGTCGCATATGTCTTCAGTAATCCTCTTCCCACCCAGAACCCACTGTCCAAAAGAGCGGGTGATGCTCAACTCGCCAATCTGATGACGAGCTTCTGGTGCGCCCCGTCTTCACGTTATCTCATATCTCTTAACACGAACCGTTCGCGGGGCAGGGTGTCTTTCATCCATAACCTGGATCCGAACTATAGCGATGTCCCGGGCGCACCGCGCTGGCCCAGCTATCGCGAGCATGCACAAAACATTGTCTTTAAGCGACAAGGGAGTTTCGCGCAGAATGACGACTATCGTGCTGAAGGAATCGCCTTGTAAGCACCGTGCTCGAACTACTGCTCGCGCGCTGATATACTCTGTTACTTTCAGTTTGAATACCCTCGAGGGCGAGATGGAACACTGACGTCTTAACAGCTTTTTATATTCGAGATATTCTTCGTGACTTTGATCGTACGCAAGCTCTCGTGACGGGTCCCGAGTTTGACTTTGCCGGTCTTTGCTTTACACAATCCAAGCATTCAACCTTCGCCAGGACTGTATTGACGAAATACGTACTGGACTTCTGATGTGACGTCCGTCTTCGGTTCCCGCAGCTTCGCAAGTCATCGGTTCTTGTTGTTCTGGAAAGTCCGGGCGAGAAGTCATGCAGAACCCCCCTTTCCCGACGGTCGTATTTTACCATTCAACGGAGTTTTCACATTTTTAGACGACCTTGAACCCATGACTTGCATGTAGATGCATCATGCGCTTTACAGGCAATCCTCCGAAACTGTACAAGACGTGCATTTTCTCTATCTCATGCGCATATATGGGCGAAATGTGATCTTTGGATACGATTTGGCACTCCCCCAGCGCCTGGTACTCCTCGATATGATCCCAGTTGTATCAGCATCTGTGTTCGTCGTTCTTGGCGGTTTCGTCTCCGGAATTCATCCCGTCGCTGCCGTGGAGCCTACGGTGACTGTTCTCAACGGATCCTATACGGGAGTGTCAATTCCGTCCTTCAAGCAAGAAATGTTCCTCGGCATACCATATGCTCAGCAGCCTCTGCCACCGCTTCGTCTACGACCTCCTATGTCGCTCAATACCTCTTGGACCGGTAGTAGAAGTGCCGCATCTTTTGGTCCTCCCTGCATCGGATACCCTACCTCGGGAGTATCTGGCGCCCCTGATCTGGAACCGAGCGAGGCTTGTCTGTCTCTCAACGTCGTACGCCCACAGGGTATCGAGGAAGGTAGTGATATCCCTGTGGTCGTCTGGATTTAGTGAGTGGGGTTCAGTAATGACTGACGAAACCGGAGACTGATGTATCCGACAGTGGTGGCGGATTCCAGGCGGGTGGAAGTGCTGATTCGTTGTACAATGGCACGTGGATTGTGCAACGCAGCGTAGATATGGGACAACCAGTGGTGAGATTCATATCGTATCAGCACTTGATATTGCCTAAGCCGATGCCATATTGTGCCAGGTTTTTGCCAGTTTCAACTATCGCGTCACCGCCTTTGGATTCATGTGGTCAACAGAGATAGCTGCCGAAGGTACAGGCAATTTTGGTCTCCTTGATCAAGTGCGACTACCTCGTGCTCGTATCATACGACACGAATCTTACCGTGAAATATCACATTACCCAGTACCTTGCGCTTCGATGGGTTCGCGAAAATATCCGCACATTTGGTGGCGACCCGGACAGAGTAACAATCATGGGAGAAAGGTGCGTCTTGTCGTCATAATATTTCTGTGCATCAATGGATGAATCGATTGCAGTGCTGGCGGTCAAAGCGTCTCCCTTCAGCTACTTGCTTTCGGAAAAATCTCTACAGACCTCTTTCGAGCTGCAATCGCAGAGTCTGGATCACCCCCTGGATTGCAATACCATACCATCGAGGAATTTCGACCCCAGTACGACGCGGCTATTGAAGCCGCCGGGTGCCTCGGTGCTGCCGATTCTTTGGAATGTTTGCGTAGTGTTTCTACGGAACGTTTTGTGTCGGCCACCAATGTCACCACGTCTTTCGCATGGGGTCCTGTCGTAGACGGCAATTTCCTCAAGGCAGGAGTAACGGCTACCATCCGAGCGGGAAACTTCACCAAGGTCCCGCTTCTTACCGGAGGCACGTAGTATGAGATCTCATGGACCTTCACTAGACCTAACGCGCGATGCAGCGAATCTAGACGAAGGTGCCACGTTTGGACCCAAGGGAATTAGTGACGACGCTTCCCTCGCTAATGCACTCGCGTCGGCTTATCCGCACTTGACCAACGATAGTATTAGCAAGATAATGGAGTTCTACCCTAATGACCCGTCTATAGGCTGCCCATTCAACACCGGTGATGGCATACTCGCTACCGGAGCGCAAGACAAGCGCGCATTCAGTATCTGGGGCGACACGAACATGCATGCTGGTGTGCGTAGACGATGTAATCATGCATATCCAAAATTTGAAATATCACTGCTTAGCGTCGCCTATTGGCTCAGAGCATAGCTACAGCACAAGACGTGTACTCTTACCACTTCTCCCAACCACCCGATGGCGCCACCGTTGACGTTGGCGGTAAGCCATTCGGAGTACTCAAACTCGTATTTGTGTTGAAAACCCACCAGTGCAGCACGGTCAAGAAGTTGCGTTCGTCTTCGGCAATCCCTCATTTCTGTCTACTCGAGCCGGAGACGCAGCGCTATCAACATTGATGACTAGCTATTGGTGCGTAGCTTGGCCCTACGCAAAGGTCGCATTCACAACAATGTTGCTTAATAGGATCTCCTTCATCAACACTCTAGACCCCAACCATACCGGCAGTACGTGTATATCAATTCAGGGACATATGTTGTAATGACGTCCATCACAGTCGATGGTGCTCCGCGGTGGCCTAACTACAAAGGAAATCCGAAGAATCTCGTATTCAAACGCCAGGGAAGCTTTGTCGAAGACGACAATTATCGTGCTCAAGGCATAGCATTGTAAGCATTTGCTGACTGTCCTGTGTACAAAAGATATATTGATGGACTCGCTTGAACTAGTCTCAATACGTTGGAAGGCCAGATGCAGCATTGAATGATCGCCGCGATCCTATCTATGCCTTTGAATTCCCGGCCCGTCTCCGTGCCGCCTGTAGGTATTGTTGAGCCGTTCAATACGATGGGTCGTGAGTAAGTCACGAATAGCTCAAGAAACGACTATCAACATCCACAGAAGCACAGCTCCGCGTGCTTCGTTTGGTCCAAAAAGATGATCTCAATTTGAGCGGATCCTGCTGCGCCTTCTTCGATTTTCCGCGATGACGGCATGTGAGCCTCGTGCCTCCTTACCCCCTGCTCCGGATTTCTTGCGTGCTTCTCAATAGAGACGCTGTTCCACCAACCGCGGCACATGGACTCACCTTCTGGGGTCCGACTCGTAGCTGAATGCCTTGAGGACCCGGCTGACCGACTAACGGAGGGCCGTTGATCATCACTTGTATGGTCAACAACCTCATGATCTCCGCTCATCGTATACCGAGCAACTCATGCACTTGTTGGCCGCTTCTGGTCGCTAAGGCAAGGCGTTGGGCGTGTTACGATGGCCGTCGCCCCCTAACCGAGAACCTTGCCAGCGCAAATCGCAAAGGGCCGAGATGGGACCGATCTGTATCAGAGAACCTCAAGGTGAGCGTTCGTATATTGAAACCTCGTGACTTCATCGGACAACCGTCGTACTCTCTATGAAAGGCACATTCGACCCAGCTATGTCTTCCGTGTTCAGCGGCTCCGTCATGGCAGCATAAAAGGGCAGGGGCAACGGTCTCCGACAGCAAGGCCTGCAATCTTCGCTACTGGTGCCGCTGCTAATATGTCCATTCGCCTATTCTCGGTGTTGCTCTTCGCGCTTGTCGCGGTTGCGCGAGGGGTACCTCCCCGAGCAGGCGAGCCACGATAACCTGTTTGTGCATTCAATAATCCTTAACGTGGAAAAGACGCAGACTGCCCGACACCTGCGACCATCCCAGGAATCAACCTCACCACCCTCCCCGACCCCTTCAAGCTCAACGACGGAACCCCCGTCCGCACGAAGGACGACTTCGCGTGCCGCCAAAAACAGATCGCCGCGCTCATCCAAGGGTATGAAGCCGGGTTCCTGCCCGGGAAGCCGGACATCGTGGAGGCCAACTTCACCCAGCGCGGCACTTCGGGCACCCTGAGCGTGACGGCGGGCTTCAGCAACAAGACCATCTCGTTCTCATCTAGCCTGACTTTCCCGTCTGCGACTGCGCCAACCGGAGGTTGGCCACTGCTCATTGCGTACGATGGAGCCAGCATCCCCGTTCCATCTGGTGTAAGTGGGCCGCACTCATGATGCACCGCATCATGGTCCCTGACATCTTCCTACAGGTGGCCACCCTCGTATACAACGTAGACAACATCGGTCAGCAAAATGACCAGAGCAGCCGCGGCGTCGGGTTGTTCTTCCAGCTGTACGGGTCGGACGCGTCCGCATCCGCGATGACGGCCTGGGTGTGGGGCTTGAGCCGGATCATCGATGCGCTCGAGGCAACCCCCAACGCGCATATCAACCTCAACAAGCTGGCCGTGACCGGATGCTCCCGCGATGGCAAGGGCGCGCTGATGGCAGGCGCCTTCGAGCCGCGTATCGCGCTCACCATCCCGCAAGAGTCCGGCTCGGGAGGCGACACATGCGTGAGTACTCGTCTGCCGAGACAGGCGGCGACAAGGAGCAGCGGCTGACTGTGACTTTGATCCAGTGGCGTCTGTCCAAGTTCGAGCAGGACAGCGGCGACGTCGTGCAGGAGGCGGTCGAGATCGTGCAGGAGAACGTCTGGTTCTCGCCCAACTTCACCAACTACGTGCACAACATCTCGACGCTGCCGTACGACCACCACCTGCTCGCGGCGCTCGTCGCACCCCGCGCGCTCATCTCGTTCGAGAATACCGACTTCGAGTGGCTGAGCCCGCTCAGCGCGTGGGGCTGCATGAACGCCGCGCACACCGTGTTCGAGGCGCTCGGCATCCCGGAGAACCACGGATTCCTCCAGCAAGGCGGGCACCAGCACTGCCAATTCCCGAGTAACCAGACAGACCCACTCTTTGCATTCTTCGACAAGTTCATCTTCGGGGAGCAGAACGTCAGCACGGACTTCTTCGCTACGAACGACGTGTTCAACGGGACTGTGTTCAACTCGACGTTCTGGATCGACTGGGAGACGCCGACATTGGACTGATAGGAATATGTGTGACAGGATCAGGTCAGGCCCGGGTAGCACCGACTGTTGTTGTAGTGTATCTGGATTTTAGCGATACAACGTTGCGATTTGCTGCGTGCCCACGACCATAAGGACTGAACAAGGATTGGCTCTTGAGTGGGCGCCCCCAGATGAGCAAGGCGAGTTAGTAATGCAAACGTAGGTGGATGGAAACACGGTCGCCTCAACACATTTGCGTCGAAGTTGAAGGCGAAGACGGAGAGGAACAGAACAAAGGAGCAGTATTCGGTTTTCTGAGACGGAGCGAGGAACGAGCAAAGGCGTGAGAAAGTAGTCTATGCACGAGCGCGATGACGCGGCGGCGGCCCCTCACCCGCTCGCCTCCGACGTCGCCAAGCGCGAGCTGAAGTCCAGCCTCCCGTCGGGCTGCCGATCCCATCTAGCTCGTGTTTTTGATTTTTGTTCGCGCTACTCCCTGCAATACGACAAAAAAAAAAATGCCTCGCATAACTGTGAATCCGCACGAGCAGGTGCCGCCAGACTTCGCAGGGCCAGCTTTCATCCTCGCTCGGGCCGCTATCGCTCAGGCGAACGGAATTACCGAAGAGGAGGCAATCCAGGCACTCACGGACCAGTGGGCCAGCCAGAACAACGCGGAGAAGCAAGCGTGGAACGCGCAGGCAGCAGAAGATCAGGAAGCGGCGGAAACAGCCGAGCGCGAGCGAGCAGAGAGAGCAGAAGCGGAGAGATTGGACGAGGAGAGGGAGGCCGCCAAGACTCGTCCTAAAGCGCCAGTGTACGAGGACAATCAGACGATCGGCGACGACCAAGATCTCCACACCGATTCCGACATTCTCCTCAAGCTGCGCAATTACAAGTACACCGACATGTGGTATCACGGAGCCAACGGCAGAAGACTCGCCACCTCGTGGGCCGTATCCCGCAACGACGACACCATGGTCCTCGCCAAAGAAGGGGAGGGATTGGCAGTAAAGCATTCCTCCACCGCAAAACTCGCGAGGCACTGCGTCCCAGACCGGGATCTGACCTGGGAGCAATTTACAGTCGCGAAAGGGGGGCTTCTCGAGGATATGGCAAGAGTTGGATGGGAGGCGAACGTCATTCATGATTTCGCGCTCCTCTTCTACAAGATGGACGGCCACCGCATCCGCTATCAGCCGTACGGTAACACCTGTTTGCTGATCTACATGGACGAAGTTCGTCGAGGGTGGCACCTCGCGTACGATATGGACAGCAGGAACAAGCCGAGACCGGGGGAGGGTTTGACTTTCAACCCGGGCAATTTCAACGAGGCGCGATTTGCGCGAGTCGTAACGACCTACCTCCAGGAACAAGCTTACGATACGCTAGCCGGTGAGCTCACCCTGCCCTCCTCTTTCGAGACCTTACTCACGTTGTCCTTTCCTTTAACCCTCCCAACCCTGCACCTCGTACACGCAAACACAACGCTCACCGCGTTCATTATCGCAACCCCTTCCCAACGTCGTACCATCACCATGGTCGACGTCAACGCCCGGGCGCATGCACGCACGCGGTCGACGTACGAACGTGCCACCGCACCTCACGCCATGGCGCGCCCGCACGCCCCGCTCGTGCCTTATCGTTGCGACACGGCGATCAGATCTTCGGAATCGACCCCAGGCCCAGCTCGCAGCGCCACTGCGCACAGAGAAAGCCCACGCAGCCAGATCGGGCAGTCCATACGCCCGCCCGGACAGCAGCCGACCCGAGAAGAACCAGAATTTTCGGCAAAGCGCCGGCGCAAACGCCCATTCGCCGTGCGCACTATGCCTTGGGCGATTCTCCCACAACGTCCGCGCCTGCAACTCTCGGAACCTCTGGAGTGGAAAGCGGGCTTACTCCTCGCGCGACGAGCGCGGGTACCTCGTCGGCCCCAACGGCAGCAGCATCTGCACCGATTTCCAAATCGCGCGAGGGTGTCGGTGTACGCACACGCACACCTACCAGCACATTTGCTCCGGATGCAGAGACGCAGGCCACGGAGCTTACAAGTGCCCGCTTGCGCAGGGCCTCTAAGGCGCTCACGCCGTTGCACGCAGCGGGATGGCATCAGCATCTCTCCCGGCACGGCCTCTTGTTCAAATATCCATTCTTGGTGTCATCTATCTTACACGGTTTCGACGCGGGCATCGTGCCCCCTAATACTACCTTTGTGCCCCCTGTCAAGATCAAGATGGAGCTAAGTCCGACGCCGGAGGTGTGACGTCCGGACCTAGCGAGATGATTGTCGGAGTCGGGTCGGAAGAAAGTCGGAGTGAGTCGGAGAATGTCGGAGCAGAGTTTCGGGATTCAAAGAGTGAGTGCGAGTACGGACCAGACTCAAGCTTTAAGACTTGAGTCGCTACGCGCTCTAAGTCCGTGTCGGAGCAGAGGAGTAACTTAGTCGATATTCGAACTAAGGAGTTAGAGTACAGGAGCTAGGAGTTTATATACGCGGAGGCACGGTTCGGAGCTCGTATCGATAGGGAGTTATCGGAACTATGAACCATGTGGAATAAGGAGTTATCGGAACTATGAACCATGTGGAACTGTCAATCGTAAGGACGGAGCATATGGTTACGAAGCTGATAATCGGAGGTAGAATAAGTCCGAAGGGAATATCAAACCGTTAAAGGCATATCGATC